ATATAGCCTTTTTTTATTATTCCAGAATTTTGGTAAAAATTTTATGAAAATCGGACCACTATATCTTATAGCTGCCATAGGAACGATCGGGAAATTAATCGAAAAATATTATAACTTCGTTGTTTTTCAACGTATTTTAATCTACTTTGGTACATAAGCTTCTGGTATTATTTCAGAATTTTGGTATAAATTTCATGAAAGTCGGATGACTATATCTTATAGCTGCCATAGGAAAGATAGGGAAAGTAATAGAAAAAATTATAACTTCGTTGTTTTCAACGTATTTTCATCTACTCTGAGATATGAGCTTCACTTATTATTATAGAATTTTGGTATAAATTTCATAAAAATCGGACAACTATATCTTATAGCTGCCATAGAAGCGATCGGTAAATGTATAAAATATATAAAGCTGGGAATGTAAAACTGTAACTGTCAAACTGTAAACATAATAGGTATAGGTAAAATGTTATCAAACTCTGTTTAGTGTCTGTTTTCGGCATTATAATTTATGATATAAATATGAAAACCAATCTGCAAGGGTATACAAACTTCGGCGTGCCGAAGTTAGCTTCCTTTCTTGTTTATATTTATTTAAGAAATTTTTTTAGAATTAAACAAAATTTTTTTAAATATTTTAACTGCCAAATTTGAATTTGAATTTAACTGCCAAATTCGAATTTGAATTTAACGACGATCAGTTTCAGTGTGCCCAGGTGCAGTTGTTAAATAACTCCTAAATTTGGATTCAAAAGGTTTGAGTCTCCGCTAACTTGCGCCGGCTACTAAATGGTTTGGAACTTGGACAATTTATAACCGTTTATACCAGTTTTCAGCTGCTTGCTGCTGATTTCTGTTCGCCTGTTACCCCAATTTGGGAAACGGGCAATTTGCTTGGAAATGTTCGGAAATTTGGATGGGCTGCTGTAGGGATGTTGTTGTAAAAAGGTTGTTGTTGCCATAAGCTGTTGTTGTCGGCAACAAATAGGTATAAATGCATACAATGAAATATAAAAGTTTATACCAATTATTATTTTTGCCCAAATGTTTTTATAACAGTTTATACCAGTTTTCAGTTGCTTGCTGCTGGTTTCTGTTCGCCTGTTACCCCAGTTTGGGCAACGGCCAAATTGGAGGGAAATTTTTGCTCACTTGCATGAGTGATGCTCATCTGCATCAGTGATGCTCATCTGGCTATATTTCAATATTGGAGGTCAATAAAGTCGGGCTTAATGTCAGTGATGCGCATGTGCATCAGTGATGCTCATCTAGCTATTTTTTTGCATTATTGGTAGAAAATTGCATCTCACTAGCTGCCAGTGATGAACATCACTGATGGAAGTGAGCATCACTGATGGAAGTGAGCATCACTGATGGAAGTGAGCATCACTGATGGAAGTGAGCATCACTGATGGAAGTGAGCATCATTGATGGAAGTGAGCATCACTGATGGAAGTGAGCATCACTGATGGAAGTGAGCATCACTGATGGAAGTGAGCATCACTGATGGAAGTGAGCATCACTGATGGAAATGAGCATCACTGATGGAAGTGAGCATCACTGATGGAAGTGAGCATCACTGATGGAAGTGAGCATCATTGATGGAAGTGAGCATCACTGATGGAAGTGAGCATCACTGATGGAAATGAGCATCACTGATGGAAGTGAGCATCACTGATGGAAGTGAGCATCACTGATGGAAGTGAGCATCACTGATGGAAGTGAGCAAAACTTTTCATTCAAATTGGCCGCTTTCCAAACTGAGGTAACAGGCGAACAGAAACCAGCAGCAAGCAACTGAAAACTGGTATAAACTGTTATAAAAACATTTGGGCAAAAATAATAATTGGTATAAACTTTTATATTTCATTGTATGCATTTATACCTATTTGTTGCCGACAACAACAGCTTATGGCAACAACAACCTTTTTACAACAACATCCCTACAGCAGCCCATCCAAATTTCCGAACATTTCCAAGCAAATTGCCCGTTTCCCAAATTGGGGTAACAGGCGAACAGAAATCAGCAGCAAGCAGCTGAAAACTGGTATAAACTGTTATAAATTGTCCAAGTTCCAAACCATTTAGTAGCCGGCGCAAGTTAGCGGAGACTCAAACCTTTTGAATCCAAATTTAGGAGTTATTTTAAAACTGCACCTGGGCACACTGAAACTGATCGTCGTTAAATTCAAATTCGAATTTGGCAGTTAAATTCAAATTCAAATTTGGCAGTTAAAATATTTAAAAAAATTTTGTTTAATTCTAATTCTAATTTTAAATATAAACAAGAAAGGAAGCTAACTTCGGCACGCCGAAGTTTGTATACCCTTGCAGATATTATTTCATTACATTTTACCTATACTTATTATGTTTACAGTTTGACAGCTACAGTTTTGCATTTCCAGCTTTACATTTTCCCTACATCTTCCGATCGTTTATATGGCAGCTATATGAGATAGTTTTCCGATTTTTTTTTAAATTTATACCAAAATTCTAGAATAATAAAATAAGCTTATATCCCGGAGTAGATGAAAATACGTTGAAAAACAACGAATCTATAATTTTTTTTTCTATTAATTTCCCGATCGTTCCTATGGCAGCTATATGATATAGTCGTCCGATTTTCATAAAAGTTTTACCAAAATTCAGAAATGTTATAAAATGGACATATCTTAAAAATGGTGCAAAAATGTTGAAAAACAGCAAAGTTATAATTTTTTTTCTAAAAATATATCGAACATTTGTATGGCAGCTATATGATATAGTCGTCCGATCCGACCCGTTCCGACATATAGCAGTGAGAGCATATAGAAGACTATATGCAAAGTTTCATTGAGATAGCTTTAAAACTGAGGGACTAGTTTGCGTAGAAACGGACAGACGGACAGACGGACGGACAGACGGACATGGCTAGATCGACTCGGCTGTTGATGCTGATCAAGAATATATATACTTTAAAGGGTCGGAAAGGTCTCCTTCACTGCGTTGCAAACTTCTGACTGAAATTATAATACCCTGCAAGGGTATAAAAATTAAGAATGAGTTGGCAACCAAACCACGTTTGATTTTTCATTGCGACAGCAATTCAATCCGAACTGTCTGCTGAGCCACCACCTCCCATTAGACACCCTCACACCTGCTTACTCCCCGGACAATTTCCACCCACATTTGCTGCCTCATTCAATCAGCTCGATTCCGGGCGGCACAATGCACATTGCACCACACTGGATTGGGGATTCAATTGAATGTGTGGCAAATGAGATTCTTTAATGACGATGACGCCGACCACGATGATGCTGCACAACAATCAATTATATCTTAAGTTGGGGGGCGGCTGGGACTCGGATACAGATTCAGATTCACGCTGGGAACAACAGTGGTCACAAAGACCCCCTCGCAAATGAATCGAATCGAAGCTTGTCTGCTTTCGAGATGCAAGATTCGAGATTCGGATGGAGATGGAGTCGAAGTCGCAGTCGCAGTCCAAGTCGGAGCTGATGATCTGCCAGGGGGAGATACTTTCTTTTTATTGCCGGCACCGACACAAGGCAAACGTAACGAGTTCAGATCAATTTTTGGTTGACTCTCTGCCAGTTCGGCTCAATAACGGACGACTTGTTTTGTTGTTTAATTTTGTACATCGTTCGGGGTTTCCAAATTTTCAGAGATCGTGTGTGTTGTGTGTGTGTGTGTGTGAACGCGTGCGTGTGTTTGTTTTGAACAACAATATGATAAATATAAAAATTAATACATTGAGAGTGAAAGTTATTGCTTTTGGAGTCGAGTCGATCATCATCCTCATCATCATCGCACTCATCGCCAGCAGCTCCGCTCCGGCGAGGGAGAGAAATGGCGATGATGACGACCGAAGCGGGATTTTGATGCCGCCAAGTTGATTTCTTTCGCTCGCCCGATGGACCCCCCAGTATTACAAAATACCCGAAACCCGGGCCATATCTTACGAAATCCCCCAGAAGATTGTTGGCCGTGTCTCTGTCTAATTGAATTATGCCACCACGTTGCAAGCAGGGCGCACGGTTACCTCCTCCAAGGTAGGTTGACCCAGTTTTAGAATAAAGAACGCTAATTATAAATTGTTTAGAGAATAAAAGCTGTGCTGTGAATCTAGGTTAAATGTGGTTCAAACAATAATTATTAAGTGAGTTTAATTATTAGTTTTACTTATGGTTAAAAACGAACTAGGACTTGTTAATCAATATTACATTATACACATTCAGAGCACTTTTAATTTATTAGCTGTATTACGAACCAGTAACCGTACTAATTTTTGATTTATTTTTTACCGCTAATTGAGTTACAACCACATTATACGCACGAGGCACCCCGCTACCCCTTCCACGCTCGGGCGACCCATTTTTATAGCCATTGCATGTGCGCTGGCCAACGCAAATAGCTACTAAACGTTATACTTCGCTCGTCGCTCATCTCTCGGGCGGGGTAACTTTCGCTTTTTCGGCTGACACGCTCGCCAGCCGGCTAATGGAGTTGTCTGGGCCGCCCAAGAACCGTGTGAAGTGGCGCAGCGCAGGAGGCAGGTGTGGAATAGGAACAAACCCGCAGCACTTTAAGCACTTCTAATCTGTATAATTTGGCAGAGAGACGCCGAGTCGGGTGAACCAAATGCCAAGTGGTTGGTAGTGGCTAGTTGGTGGTTGGTGGAAAGGGGGCAGCCAAGCGCATCCCACGGCTGCCGACCAACTGACCGTTGAAAATTGGAAAAATTGCAACGGCCAGTGAAGAAGAAAATTGCACGGCCCAGGAAAGAAAATGGAAGGAGGAGAAACGCGAACTGAAAGCACTTTTCTTTCTTTTCAGAAGCACCATTGTTTTAATTTACAATTGTGACAATTCGGCCGGGGATGCTTGACTGAGTCTAACCCCTCTGCGGTGGCCCCCTGGGAAAGTGCCCCGTGGAAATGGGGGCTATAAAATATGACCAGGCAATTGTCAAGGCTTTTAGTTGAACTTGAAGCGTTTCGGCAACATGTTCCGTGTTTTCCCGCTGCTCAGCCTGCTGCTCTTCTCGGTCGTCCGTGCGGAAATCTGTGACCAGGACCCTAGTGTCACGTTGTACTGCCGCGGTGAACGAGCCTTGCGAAATGTCCTGCGGAATTTGAATCGCAGCGACAAGCCCTTAGTTGTGGTGAAGGGCCTGGAAATAGTTCCCCTCAACGCCTCAATGCCCGAGGAGGAGCCGGAGCAGGGCCTGCTGGACAGTCTGTCCTTCTATCTGAGAACGCACGAGGTTAATGTGAAGCTGGCGGATCTGCTGGAGGATGAGGCGCATGTTTCAGGTTCGTGGAATATGGAATCAGGCGATTTAAAGCACATAAAAAGGAAATGAAAATATGTACGGCTTTCGAAAGTGAACCAAGGGAGCATTAAAGTGGATAAAATTTAATAATTCGGAGAATTTCTTTAGTTAAACGTTGCGTGAATAGAAATCAGTGAATTTCCAGTCTAACACATATTTACCAATTTAAGTATTACAACTGCTAAAGAAATAGAAATTCCTATAGTGAAATTTTTGTATTTACTTTTGCCTGCAAATATTTTCAATGCACAAAGAATACTTGGCCTAAAATTTATAATGTAATCATTCCATTTTTTTTGGCCATCAGACTAGCCAAATTCATTAAGTGGAAATGCTTTGTTTTATCTGTTTGTATTTATTCTGACGAAGATGTAAATCCTCTCCTATTCCTAGTCCAATTATTGAATTTCCATTTAACGTTCAAATTGATATATATATGAATGTTTACATGTATCTGCCGCAGTGCTTTGACATTTAGCCCCAATCGAAACGGCAAATATTTGCATGAAATCAAAAGCCACTTGGCCGGCAAAATGTATCTGCATTGCCTTGAAGGATGTTTCGGAGTCACATGCTCATAAAATGTATTTTTGATTGTTCCAGAGGCACGAAAAAAGGACAAGGGCCAGGGCATGCTGCTGGCCATGGCTCTGATGTTTGGCAAGGCGATGGCCGTAATGGGCCTGGGCGGAATCGCGGCCCTGGCTATGAAGGCCCTGGGCGTCGCCATGGTGGCCCTGATGATGGCCGGAATCCTGGGCCTAAAGACGGCCTCCCAGCATGGTGGAGAGAGCAGCCACAGCATATCCTACGTGACCGGCGAGGGCCATGGCCATCACCACAAGCGAAGACGCCGCGCTGCATCCGCGGCATATCGAGGCTGGATTTAAATCCTTAGTTCTTATGTAGCACTTAAGTAATTCAATAATTTATTAATCATGCAACGGACGCAAGTGGTTTTAATCTAAAGTTCATTGGAGCCGAGTGTGCAGTGCCACTCGAGATGTTGCCGTTGCTGCCAGTGTCGTTCCACGGTCTCTGCCGCTGCTGCTGCTGCTGCTGCTGCCTGGGATGCTGCTCTTCGGTTTATGAAATCGGTGAAAGTTTATTTGTGCCGAGTTCGTATTGTGTAGCCATCAGCATCCGCAGCAGCAAAAAAGCAACAGCGGCAGCAGAAGGAAACCCACACATGGCCATAACGGCTGTATTAGTGGCTTTACCCTGGCAATGGGTAGTATTCGTATATGCAAGTGCTTGAAGCTTATATTTGCAGTTAACTGGGTAAAGAGTTCAGAAGTATTAAAAGCGGCACTTTATTTTCAGAAATTTTGTAAAGAAATTGAGTGATAATTTGCAAGCAATTATGCGAAATTCACAAGGAATATCTCTCAAAATATTTGAGGATACTTAAAGGGAAGTCAACTGGAAAAGGCTTTTAAGGACAGCTTTAAATGGCTCATATAATATTTTGCGAAGTGAAGTCTGACCTCAGCCCTTCTTAGGTTAGTTTCTCCCACACAAAATTCTGCCACAAAAGAGCATTTCCACTTCACTAACTTAATACCAAAATGTAGCATTTCCTTCCACTTTATCGCTGTGTCGTCATTTGTCAGTACGCTTTTGTGCAGTGTTATCGATGGAGCCACCAGATACCGGATATCAGAGTTCAGATACTCTACAGCAAGATTCTCTGCTGATCTGCGCTTCAGATGACGACCAAACTTTTATTTTCTGTGGAATCTGGTACATGAATACTGAATACTGGCGTACGGATTGAATTTGCATAATGCGTGGCCAACTTTCACTGTATTTTGGCAGTGGCAACGGTTCTTTTCGACCACCTAAAGAGCCATGGGCACAACAGTAACAACAAATTACGGCCATGACAGACCCCAAAACAAAAGAGAGAAAAAAAACAAGATGTTCGCTCGTCTTGGCCACGGTGCGTTCTGTTACACAATACCATTAAAAGCCGCAGCACTTGAACGGCCAAAACCCGTTAAGCGGCCGGCAGGGATACCACCACCATTACCTCTACATTTGGCTTTACCTTTGGCCAAGAGCAACTTGCTTTACCTCTTGCCAAGTTTCTTGCCCCCTTATCTCGATGCTGAACCTTGTACCGTCGCCTAATTGCTCCGTCTACTGGTGGCTGCTTCTGCTACACAGTAAAGAAAAATATTTAGCTTTGGTGGAAGGAATTTCATTATTTAATAAAATTAAGAAAACAAAAAGGTACTTTAAAGAAAAATAAGACTTTGAAAAAGTTCTTGAAACTACACATCAAACTACTTCTACTTTACTATTAAATACTTAAAAACCCGTTAAAAATTGCAAATAAAAAAGGAAATAAAATGTGAATTGGTGTTGATATAATGAATATACATATAATTTTCCCCTGTGCACTGCTGCTGCTTCTTTTGTTGGTTCGCTCTTCTGTTAACTTTCCCTTTTCAACGGCATTTTATGAGCCCGACTTGTGTTGAGCTGACCAAACCGCGGCGCGTCTGCCGGCTGTAATTAAATTATAAAATAAGTTCATAAAAGCAAATTTGTTGTTTTACAATTCGTATATGATCTGGGCAACTGGTGTTTTATATAAGACCGCAGCAGTTGCTCCGGAATTGATTTTCTAAACGGTGCGCTTTGATTTTAACCGGACGACCGACCACGGAGTTGACAATAAAAGCTCCGTGAGTTTATGAGCACGTTGATGATGGCGAGATGATGATGAGATGGCTGCCAAGACGTGTGTGAATGCCGGTGGAGCTCCGCCACAGTCCAGTCCAGTCCACACTGCATAAATGAAAGTTCATAAAGAAATTAGCTGATTAATCGTCGTTCGATGAGCTTGGAAAATGACCAAGCCGAGACGAGCCCGGCTGAATGACTGACTGAAAGTGTCACGCAGCCTACATTTTAGCCGCTGCCTCGAAAATTTCACTTTTCAATGATGCTGCGCGGTCGCCCGCCCGTTTCACATGTAAATTAATATTTAACCCAAATACCGCAAATTCTTTATTTGAAATGCTGGCCGTATCGGTTACTGGTCTCGCATCTCGCCGGAGTCTGCAGACATAATCCCCTTTCCGGTATTATTATGCAAATTTCGTATTAATTCAAATGACCGTAAAAGGGAAAATGTGTTCTATTAACTTGACATTTTTATGGTTTTGTGAAATCTCCGGCCGGCGCTGCCTTACTTTTAGGGAGTGTCTTACCCGTGGGTTTCTTCTGAACTTTACTTTTACTTATTAAATTATGCAGCAGCGATGCTTATCTGAATGGGAGTCAAGGAAAGTAATTAACGTTTACAGCCCAGAGGTAAAAATGGGATACATTTCAGCTTTTCCTATATATATTTGCCGAGGTTAAATTACATTTAGATATCCGAATATCGGAGCTATAAAGTATTCTCCTGCCACTGGCTGTTGGTATAACCTTTGATTGCATTTGCTGGCCCCTTAAGCCGCTGAGCGATTTTCCGGTTTTGCAAACTTAATTGCATCATCCATTTTCACTTTCCTTGATCCCTTGGCAGCATTCAGCTATTGGAATGCAAATATTTCCTATAAATACTATGTATGTATATCTGTATTTATCTGTTGCCATGGCTGCTGTGTATAAATGGTTTACTTCTGACCACGACTTTCACCGAAACATTTTTGTTATTTATTCATTAAATTTTTGCCGCTGATGTTGCCCTGCGATGCCTCCGCCGATGCTTCTGTTGTTGTCCATTCTGGTTTTCGTTGCCGTTCAATAAAACCCGTACACATGCACACACACACCTACATGGAGTACACGGAATTCTTTTTGCATGACCATCGCAAAAAGATGGAAAAAGGCAACAAAAAAAATGGGCAAAATTAAATGTAAAATCAACAATAATTTTATTTTTTTTGCCCTCGCCAAGGCAAACACACCCACAAAGTGGCAATTGATTGGCAAAATACGAGTGCGAGCCGCGGGCCAAAAAAGATGTCAGCAAACAATGTGAAATTGTGCTACCAATTGGGCAGCGTTGTCGAAACTTTTTAGTGGATTCGATACGGTACATTAACTGCACCGTTAAGATATCAAAAGTCCGGCGATCGTATCCAGAATTCCGTAATGCACGCCCTCGATGCTTTCGTCGCTTATGCAAATTAGCCAGAAAATAAAAGGAAAAAAACTTTCACGGCTAAGCGATTTGGCTTTAATTTAATTCAAATGGCTAGAAGAAAAAAGGGCCTCTGCTGATAAATAATACAGTAAAATGGTCTCTGTGTGGGACACAACGGTCATCATCATCGTCGTCGTAGTCGTCGTTCGCTTGGCTAATGAGTCTCGGGCCCAAATTGATGTCAAGCAAAATGAAAGTGAGAACACGATGATATCTCCGGCGGGCCCAAAATAATCATCCGTTCGAACGAGCGCTCGCATCTTCGATCTGCCGATTGAAGCCCACTCGGACACTGGTCTAATAAGTACTGTAATTATTTAGATTTTCTACTTGAGGCTCGTGGAGCCGCCAACTTTCTTAAAACATAAAGATTTTTGTGGGCAAATACGTAATTTGACGAGGTGAAAATGCAAGTGTGTGTCAGGGTAGTTTCTAATTTTTGCTTAAAAGTCCATGCTACAGCCGAGGATTATGCTTATGAAAAGTATTTAAAACTTGTAAATAAATTGTGAATTATAGAAGGGAGACTTACTATATCAAGCTTAGAGCATATTTTTTAAAGATACATTCTTTAACAACGGTCTAATCGGCGAAAAGGACTTTAAATCCAAATAATACTCATTTTATAGAATACCTTGGCAAAAACTAAATGATTTGCTAAACAATAGAATATATTTAGAGTTGAAAAAGGCCACGGATTAATGAAGAACTCACTCCGTTCATATTATAATCCCATTACACTCCACATCCATTCTAGCAACGCTTTTCAGTCTGACCTTAATGTTTGACAACCTTAAAAATAAACAAAAATATTTGGGAAATTATAACAAGGACGAAAAGGACAAAGGATATTCAAATTGCCCTTTTTGCTCTTGGAAAACCCTTGGCAACTAGCGGCCCGTCAACATACTGCTCATCCTAACTTCAGTTGCTAAGCTAACCTTTGTTTTTTTGGGAAATGAAAAGTAAATATGGTGAAAACAACAACATCTGTGTATTTTTATGGCCAAAACTGTTCGTTTCCATTGGGTCAGTTGCTGACGTAATATGCCATCAGCACAAGTGCTACATTGTTTTTCTTTTTTCCCGAGAGTTTCGAGACACTTGGCGATTTGTTTACACTGCTCTGTGCCAGCCATAAACAATAACAGCAAGAGCAACACCCAAACACGGCGGCAGCAACATCAACAACTCGGCGGCAACGGCAACTACACCAGGGTCCAACTACGAGCGAAATTCATTCATGAAAAGCACAGACATTGGACACTTGGACGTGGACGTGGACGTGAACGGGGATGTGGATGTGGACGATTGCTTTTCGCATGAATGGCCATGCCTGTTGGCCATGCTCTTGGCCGCTCGGACGACGGTCGTCCGCTTGTTAGTTTGGCAGCTGGCACATGGCAACTTGCAACTGGCAAATGGAGGCGTTCACACTCGGCGCGTGAACGGACATAAGTTCGGCTGTTAAAACGGATGTGTGCAGCGCCATTCGATTTGCATGTTTCTGCAGCTCTGAACCCATTTGTTGGCCGGCGCACGGTGGCCGGTGAAAATCGACAACGGAATTCCAAACCCGAAGATTGCATCGCATGTTTTGATTTTCTCCCTGTAGGATGCTGCACCCATTTTCGTTGATGTGGCGTTACGAAATGCCTTACACTTTTACCGCTCCGCGCGCCTATATAGATTGACGTCACACGGCCAACTGAAAGCTGATTTAATTGTGGTAGCAAATTACACATACGCCCCATAGACCATCGACAATTTGGCACCCATTATGCGGATGATTCAGGGGTTTCGTAAGCCCCACCGCAGCAGATCCGTGTGATAGTGTCGGATGTCGTCAGTCACAAACATTCACCTTGAAACGGGAGCTCGTATCTTTCCAAGAAACCATCCATCCATCCATCCGAGCACAGAGAAAGAAAATACTAGCCTACATTTTTTGCAGTTCAAATATAAAATAAAAAAAAATTTAACAAATCCTCAAGATGAACTTTGTTTGTTTTTTTTTTATGGCCTTCTTAACTCGCAGTCCAGTATGAAAAATGACATAAGGGATGTAGCTTGAGTGTTCGAGCTAAACTTTATTAATTTACCTTACTTACATTATAAGAAGTCGCTGCAACACTAGTTTAAAAGTAAAGAATATATGAAAATAGCTTGAAAATAGGATTGATCTTAAACTGTCGAAGACTGGCAAAGAATTTATTGAAAATTTGTATGGTAAGCGCTTCCTTCCTTATAGATTTTAATAATCTTGACATCCAAGTAAATTAAACCAAAGAATAGAAATCGCTATTATAAAAACCCTTGATATTAATGTACAGGTTTAAAATATAAATGCAAACTTATATAGTTAAGTATCAAGTAATTAAAAAGAGATAATTCTTAATGAAAATACCTAAAACTCTATATTCAATTTGGCAGAAAACCAGAAACCTTACCCATCTGCAACTATGACTCCTTTTGTACCTTCAAGATCTAAAATGTGTCACTAATGTTTCTCTCAGTGCATCCACCCGACCATCATCTCGGCGGGCATCTCGCATCTTGCGCGCATCCGTTTTTGTTTGCTTTTCGTGTAATTTCTCTTTCATTTCACTTGAGCAATTGAAGCGCGCTGTTATTTGCACTTTTGCTAAGCTCAAATTGTTGACTAATGTGTCACAATTGCCGAGTCAGGCCGTTTCTTCTGATTATGCCCGCCAGCGCCGCCCGCAAAGGTGGCGAGTGTTTTCACCTGCTGCCACCGGGAGTATATCGCACTCCCCAAAGGAAAGCCCAGCCCCTGTCCCAGCCCAGGACGTGCCTATCAGCCCGTAGATTCTACTATCCTTTTTCTAGCTGTCGGATGCTCGGCTTCTCGGTTATGTAACTGCCATTATAAATCACACTTTATGTTGCGTAATAAACGCAGACCAACAATAAAGTCACGAAAATGAAAAGTAATTTCAAGGCGCGCACATGCGATAAACAAAAACTAGCGCGGGCCTCCGAAACGGAGATGACATACGGACGGACCAGGGGCCAGAAATAACAGTAGTATGAAAATATCATACACACAAAACTTTCATTTCTTGCGGCAAACTGCCCGAAAAACAAAAGCGTTCCCAAAAAAGCAAAATTAACAGAAAACCAGAAGAATATGTGAGACAGTGGGGAGGGGGAAGACTGCTGGGCCGGAAGAGGGCTCTTGTGGGTTAAAAGGAGGGCGGCGAGCAGGGGGTTAAGCTGCGCAGCACCTGTTTATCACCTCATGTGTTGTAATCTGCGAGGCTCCAGAAGCAACCATATCTCTTTCTTCGCCAGCAGAAGACTCTGCTCGAAGATGCGTCTTCTGGTGCTCGCTTCTGCTTCTGTGTGTGTGTCTGTGTGGGGGAGAGAGGACAGAAGACAGACAACCTTGGCTTTGGCTCTCTGCAGAAAACTTTCTCGCGCTCTCCCATACAAAAGCCCTGCTGCGACGGCGACGCCGCTGCGACCGAGATGGCCGCCGAGACAGCGACTGCGCAGCCGCAGCGGCAGCGGCAGACTTTCTTTAATGCGGAAGCAGACAAAGCCGCTGCCTGCGCTTGCCTAATGCGTCTTCTAAGCTGGAAGCTTGGAAGCTGTTGCCGCGACAGCGAAAGAGCGAGAGAGAGACAGAGAGGGAGCGAGAAAGAGAGGGAGTGGGAGAGAGCAGGAGACTACAGACCAAAGGCACGTGGGGAAGAAGAGGGCTCTCCGGCAACGGCAACCCTGCGCCAGTATGTGTGCACTTTTTACATAACCTTACGTTATGGCGCTGCGAGGCGAGCGCTACGTTGGAAACTCTTTAAAAACAGCCTGACAGCGGCGAAAAGTTATCAAACCGCAGCTTGTTCCATTCGAATGAACACACCAGTGATTTCGGTGGTGCCCAAGGAATTCAGTCGCAGAAACCACACAGCCATCAGCCCTTCAGCCAGCATGAAGTTCTTCGTAGCCACCGCCTGCATCCTGCTCCTGGCAGCAGGCATCTCCGCCGATCCCGTCAAGGCCGCCACCGAGGAGCAGTCCGGCGTCTTCGCCAAGTGCCTCGAGGCCGACTCCATCTCGTGTCTGCAGCTCACGGTACGGATTACTAGGCCACAAGGATTACCCACTAGCCTATAAGCGAGAGAATCGTTAACTAAAGAACATTTAAAACAGTGAAAGTGTTACCCAAAAAAAAACGTATAATGATCCATGATCAAGCCAGTGAAAGCCCTTGTGACCCAAAGGATGCTACTTAAGTGAAAGTGTCAAAGATTAAGAGTGGTTTTCACAGCTTCCCGCTAAGCAACCAGTTTAACAACTTCAATATTCGCAACCTTGTGATCCCAGTTCAATTTTCCAACCATAATTACTTAACAGGAAGTTGTGAAAATCATCTAAACGATTCTCCTGAAGAGCTCTCACTAGATTGTTACACTTTTAAAATTTTTACTTTTTTAATTTGAAAATGTGTAATGTTATACACCTCTTTGGGTTAAATAACTTAAAAGGATAGTAGCAAAACAAGTTTATGGCTAATTTAATCACTCGAAAGCCTACAGCCTCTCTGTCTCTTATTTATTTTTCTTTAAACAAGATCATTTACTCTTAATTTACTAGTAATCGACTGCTAACTGCATACATAATCGGCTTCCATTTATCAAGTTTACTCTGAAAATAGGGAAACGACTCTTTAAAATATATCCCATCCGATCGCAACACTTCTGATTTATAAACCTCTTCCGTATTTCGCAGCTCTTCCGCAAGGCCAAGTCTATCTTCGAAAACCCCCAGATCGAGCTCTTCGGCGGCGTTTCCCTGGTGAAGGCCAACGAAGGACGCCAGGGCAAGTCCTTGGACAACACTCTGGCCGTCGAGGCCGCTCCCACCGTTGAGGCCCGTACTGCCGAGATGGGCAACTACTTCATGGACAACGCCAAGAGCTTCTTCGCCGAGCGCTCCCTGAACTTCAACTTCGCCAATGCCGCTCGCAGCGTGGCCCGCGCCATTCCCGATGACATCAAGGCCGATCTCCGTGAGCTGGTCGTCGAGAGCCGTACCCGCAAGAAGAAGCTGCTGAAGAAGTTCCTGCCCATCCTTCTGGGAGTTGGTGCTAAGATCGCCGTCCTGGGTGTTGGCTCCATCTTCGGCCTGCTCTTCCTGGCCAAGAAGGCCCTCGTTGTGTCCGTGATTGCCTTCTTCCTGGCTCTGGCTGCTGGTGCTTCCAGCGGACTGGGTCGTCTTGGTGGAGCCGGAGGTAGCGGCGGTCTGCTCGGCGGTCTGGGCGGTCTGTTCGGCGGCAAGAACTCCGGCTCGGCTGCTGCCAGCACCGGTGGATGGTCCTCGGGCGGTGGCTCCTCCAGCGCCGGATGGTCCTCGGCCGGCAGCTCCGGCTGGGACTCGCACGGTGCCTACAGCTCGCCGGTGGCCCAGACCATCGCCTACCAGGGCTACAAGGCGGCCAGGCGGTAAACAGTTGGCCCAGAGCTAACTTACCCCAAGGACGAAGGCCAAGGAGAGAGAGAGAAACAATCGCTAAAAATGATGACCTATATTTATATTTATTTATAAATTATTTATTTTAATTTATTACTTGAACGAGAACGCGTACGAGACGAACTAAAGTGCCTTCCATTAGACAAAAAACAAAAAAAAACTAAAACAAAACAATCACAAATAACGAACACACGCAAACACCACTCCACCTTTCATCTCTGCAAACCGCCAATAACCTCCACCCTGAAAATTTCACCACTTTTCACGCTTCCTTCTCTCTACACTCTATTCTGTAATTTCATGGCTGCACCTTTGATTTATGGACTCCAAATGTTTGCAACTAGTCGCTTCCATCAATCAAAGCCAGTCGCCTCGCCCATCGAACTGTATCTATCTCACATCTCTTTCCATCTACCTCTATCTGTCTATCTATCTCTATACCTACCTCTGTCTCTATCTCTACCTCTACCTATATCTGTATCTCAATCTGTATCTGTACCTTTATCTATCTGGGCCCTCCCACTTTACCGCCCGGGAGGACCCAACAAAAGCTGCTGAATCAAAGAATCAAATAATAATTCAAACATGAATCTAAAAATACTTAAAAACACGACTCTCTTTTCTCATCTCTACACACTTTTCCCTTTCAATTTGCATACGCAACGCGGCTCAACAGCCCTCGACCGTATCACTCATACGCCTCGTTGTCTGGCTGAGCAATTTGCATCCACAACTTTCATTTCATCTGCTGCTCAGTTCGTTCTCTCCGCTATCAGCCCTCAAAGATCGAACTCCGAAAATGTTTCCTACGAATTTCACCCACTTATTTCTGCTTCTGCGTAATCCCCACTTTTCACTGCACTTTCTTCCGCTGTCTGTCTGGCTGTCTGCCAGAATAACGAACAATGGCAATTTGCTAAAAAATAAAACAAATATTTAGCTACGCGCATTTTGGCTCACTCAAGGCGGGGCCAGTGCTTCACAATGGGAGTTTGTATTTTAATATTTTCCACCTGCCGGGGACCCATTGTCGGGCAATGCTTAACACCTCTTGGTCTTGGCCAAAGAAAGTAGCAGACCGTCGAAATGGGCCCGGCGCAATTGAGCCTAAGTAACTGCAGTTGCCGGTTGGCAAAACGGCACTTTACAGCCGCTGATGGGCGCCAAGGTGCTTTACTTATGAATATGACCCAGTTAACCAGGCCCAGTCGATTTGGAAGTCTTCTCTCGGATGCTGTATGCTGGATCTCTCAGCTCGGATGATGCGCCCGAGCACGTAGACTCTTTCCCTCACTCTGGCTTTCTTCGGCCACGAATACGTCGGCAATTAATGTGTCGCCGCGACTGGCTTTTGAGCACTTTTGAATTCTCATTGGGGCCGCCGGTTCAGCGTTTTGTTGTTTAATTTGTTTAGCATCCAAAGTTCTGCTTTGCTGCCGCTTACCGCTTATAGCGATATTTTGAGGCTCGGTCGTGGGCTCACACACACTCGGGCAGAGCTCTATTCACTCCTCTTAGTGGGTTGCTGGCCAAGTGAAATCTCTAAGTCGTTCTCCATTGATGGTGTCACGCTTTAAATCAATTGCTATTGTCCAGACGCACTCGGAGGAACACGCAGAGTCATTGCCTGCCGCTGCTACTGAGGAGACAGTGAAAACGTAGTCGTTCCCGAATACAATCGTGTCACAAATGGGCTGCTGCTCAGCAAAAGGGAAAGTGTATGGGATGTTTGTCTTTTTTTTTTGGAAAATTGAAAACCCTTGATTGAATTCCCAGAAATTGTCTATGGTTTTAAATTTTATTGTTTTACAAGAAAATGTGATTTGTTCAGTACTTTTGCGTTCATCAAAACGCAATGAAGTCTAACTCGCAAATTGATTGATTAATATTTGTTCTTGATGTTAATATTTGCTTATCAAAATAAAAATATGTTTCTTAGGAAAAACTTAAAAAATTACACTTAATATCTAAATAAAATGAGTTAATTTTATTTAGTAATCTTTTTATAAGGATTCTTATGTCTCTATTTTTGGTTAAAAAGAAAATGGTTTTCCATTTAATTTATTCCTCACCACTCAAAGAAATTACTTTCTAAGTTAAATAACTAACGTGTTGTATAAATATTTTCATAATAAAGCAACCTAAAAATTTAATAAATTAGTTTGTTTTATGTAATATTTCTATAATGGAGTTTGCATATTTTTGGTAGTCCAAAAAAGCTGAATGCCCCAGCCTCTGTGCACCGCAAAGTATTCTTTTAAATTTTTCCAAGTTCGCTTTTCAATTTCTTCAAGCTTTAAACAAATCTTGGGCTCAAAAGAAAGCTTTGATCGTCAGCTTTCTTTAAAGTTTTTTAAGTAAAAGCAGCGATCTAAAGCACTTCAAAGAGTACTCCAATTTTGTTGGAGAAAGTTCGGAGTATATGGCTTTCTTTTCCAAGACCTGAACCTTCGCTTTTTAATACCAGGGCCTGGACACTAAATGATTTACTGCAAATATCGATATTTTAAAACAAGTGGGGAATTTAAAATATTTTTATTTCTTATTCCAAGCGGACTGTCTTAAAAAATACAATATAACTATACCAACATAAAATGTTTGTTTTAGGAAATGAAAATACATAGATTCATAGGTTTAAGTTTGTTATTTGTTTAAATTTATTTTCACTTTTTGCACAAAATTAAATAAATAAATACTCTACTCTGATTTGCAATTTCCCGAATTAATTACACCCATAGGGCAAATACCTGAACTTACGCCGTTATAAGCCGAAAGCGGGTGTTCTTTCCACAAAAATATATCTTTCTGTTGTTTTTCCATTAAAATTCCACATATAATGTAAAACATTCGCATGCTTTATTTGTTTTTCGAATGGGAGAGGGATAATTAAAATAGTAGTCACAAAAAACTGCACGACTCTGTATTTTCTTTTATAATCTAGTAACGGGTGCCTGTGACAGAGCCTTTTACGGTATGAAAAACAGGTAAGCTTGGGATGGCGGTGTAGTGCAGTTGGTGGCCTATGTGGTCTAATCCGAATGTCGGATCCCCAAGAGCTTTTCCGGTTTTGTGGTCGCCAGTTGGTAGTTGCTGTATTGGTGGCTGGCCATTTGGCGGCTCTGCGGTTGGCGGTCCAGAGGCTTGGGTCAATGTACACTTCACGGATTTGCCCATTTCACGGTGGCGGAGTTCCAGGGATGGGACGGCAGGTGGGCCAGGTGCAGTGTGTGAAAGTGTTGCAAAAGGCAAGTTGCAACTTGCAAGTAGCGAGTGGCTGTGATGAGGTTGCAGTGGGTTGGACATGGAACATAATTCAGTGCGGCTAAGGCCGGCTGACATTGAATAATACAATCGCCGAAGATTGGATGGCCGGCGAAATGGATCTGGGCCTGGGCCAAAAGGCAGTAAAAGTGTCATATTCAAGTGGCATTTACAACTATTCGCACAATGGCGCGACCGAATGTGTGAAAGTTGTCGGTTTGCCGCTTTATTGTCAACATATTAACGGACGAGGGAGCCGAAACCCGTTTAATGGAGAGCGAGCTGCTCGTTTCGGCCAACAAAAGAACAAAACGCTGACAACGAAAGTGAAATGCTTCCTCCTCGCTCGATCATAATTACGATAGTGGCAAATTTTCGTAATGAAACGAAATTGAAGTGCCTTGAAAGTGAAACCTGAGCAATTAATGCGCCGCTTGCCACGCCCCCATTTCTCTGAGCTTTCCTTTTTCCAGGTCTTTCCCACTGCCGTGATCTTTCGGCCATTACGCAATACGAGGCGTGGCGGCAGAAAAAGGCGCACAATATTTGCATTCCGTGATTCAGCAGCTTTTGGCTCCGAAAATATATATATGGACGGTTCAGATTTATTTGTGGAAGGGAAAGAAAGAGCCGAGCCAAATGGCAAGCCGCAGCCAAAACTGATTATGAAGTGGAAACTCTCACTTTTACGATTATTTTTCTTATGGCTTTCGGTCGTCATGATCGTCATCATCTTTCTTCGGAGTATCTTCTCCATTGTTATTGTCTCTTCTGTCCCATAATGATTAGACTTTCAGCGGCTAGAAAAGCAGGCATAAAAGTCAATTTTATGCTCACTTTTTGTTGCTGATTGGCCCACCGAGCCCCGATCGTGTCACGAAATAATACTATGCGCGCCGAGCCTGTGATTTGGAGCAACACTAAATATCTCAATTAGAAGTTATTGTAGGGCCTGGAAATCACCTGATGTGGGTCAGGCCTTTCTCCACTTGGCCGCTCGAGACCCAAATTAATTCCCCAGTCGGGCCCATCCCGCCGAGATGAGCTGCCATCGATATGGATGTGGGGCCCATTCGTCCAAGCCATCCCGACCCATCCCAGTCATTCATTCAGCAAAATATCTAGCCCAACCCTCCTCTGACAATTAATTAAAGTCAAATTGATGTTCGGCTCGTTTGGTTTTCGGTATTGGAGCTTGGGTTTGGGTTTTGACCATGTCTGTGGACGAGACTGTTGCCCGTGGCTGCCACGCGCTCCAAGTCTCAAAGTCCAAGCCGAACTATTTTTATTTCGATACCGGTTGCCAGTTGCCAGTTGCCTGTTGCCTGTTGCTGTTGTTGCACTCCACTCCACTCCACTCCACTCGACTCTTTCGATTTTCAATTTCTAACATTTCTAAGGCTGCAATCACACAGAGAAAAAATATTTCAGATATGCTTAATTTTATTATTGAATTGAATGAATCCTAACATTCCGTATATTAGGATTCATTTTTATACCCTTGCAGGATATTATAATTTCAGTCGGAAGTTTGCAACGCAGTGAAGGCCATTTTTGCAAAATTTAAAAATTAAAATCATTAAAATTTTTGATTTTGATAAAAAATTTGATAAAAAAATTTTAAATGATGTATGCAGATTTATTAACTGTAGAAAATCTTGCACAGAACAGTTTTCCGATTTAAAATTAATGTTCTTTTGGCCGAGTTATGATATTTTTAATTTAAAAAAAATCAAGAAGTTTTTTAATATAAAAAATCAGATTTTATAATACAAAATAATATTTTTCTAAGTCAAGGAATCATTTCCGACCCCATAAACCATATATATTCTTGATCAGCATTAACATGCGAATCTTTCTAGATATGTCCGGAGGAAATCGATTTTTTGGCCATTTTTGCGAAATTTGATAAGGGGTTACATCATTAAAATTAGCAAAAATGGCAAAAAATTTAGATTTCTTAAAATTTTAAATTTGGTATGCAGTTTTTTTTAAATTAATAAAAACTAAGACAAAACTGCTTTTCGAATCGAAATTAATGCATTTTTGGCTTAGTTATGATTTATATTAATTGTTACCTGCAAGGGTATACAAACTTTGGCTATCCAAAGTTAGCTTTCTTTCTTGTTCCTAAGATATTTTCCCCAAGAAACATATTTAAAAGTAAATAAACTATTACGTTTTCTATATATAATATCCAAGAGTTAATTTTTATATTTATGTTATAATATAATCAGCAAGGAACTTATGTTACATTTTTTCTGTCTCTGCATTCAAACGAGTCAAAGAAAGTGCCGGTGACTTTGGGATCGGCTCTGCTCGACTTTGGCTGTTTTTTG